CAACCCCCTGATGGGCCCTGCTCTGTGCGTGACAGGGGGTGGCGCTGCAACCTCCCCATCGACCCTGCCTTGAGCGTGACAGGGGGCGGCGGCCCAACCCCCCAATCGGCCCTACCCTGAGCGTGACTGAGGGTGGCATCGCAACCTCCCGATCCGCCCTGCTCTGTGCATGACAGGGGGCGGCGCCCCAACTCCCCAATCAGCCCTGCTCTGAGCCCGACCAGGGGCTGCACCTAGGGATTGGGCCTGCCCTCTGCCACCCGGGAGCAGGCCTAAGCCAGCAGAGCGTTGTCTCCCGAGGGGTCCCAGACTGTGAGAGGGCACAGGCCGGGCTGAGGGACCCTCCCTTCCCCCCGAGTGCACAAATTTTTGTGCACCGGGCCTCTAGTATATAGATAATTACATAGGCAGTTGTATAAATAATACATAATGACATAGGTAATATGTCCCAGCAAGCTACCATGCATAGATTCTTTGATCTCCATAAGAATCTCATGAAACAGCTAATCATGATAGTGTTTCTGACCATCATTCTTTTATAGATAAGAAAATTAGCTTTAAGAGACATGAAAGGACTTGCAGATGGTGATAAATTAGGACTCATGTTTTAACTAAATACTAAGCTGTTTTCCACCTTACACACTATCAGCAGAAATGATATAACAGAAATCCTTGGTTTATTTTTTTTTTTAATCTCTCAAAAGATGGAACCCATGTTAATTCCTGAAAATACCAGAAAAAGTAAATCTTTTATTATTGGTGCTAAATGATTTTGATGGAGACACATCTTAATTTTTACTCTCTCTTACTCATTTGCCCTCTCTGTCTCATTCTTTTCTTTCTCTTTTTGTTCTCTGCTTTTTCTCCCAAATGTGTCTATTGGTAGAACCACCAGTTCCCTAAAAGCACAATTTTATTCTCTGCTTTTTTTTTAGTTTTGACTTTTTTTAGATTCCACTTGTGATATCCAAGGTACCTGTCCATGCATATTGTCACAAATGCCAGGATATCTTTCTTTCTCATGGGCTGAATAATATTCATTGTATATATACTGCATCTTTTTATAAATCTACTCATTCATTGATGAACATTTGGGTTGTTTCCATATCTTGGCTAATGTGAATAATGCTGCAATAAACATAGGTGTTCATGTATCTCATCAAAATCTTGTTTTCATTTCTTTTGAGTATACAGCCAGAAGTGAAATTGCTAGATCATTCGGTAGGTCTCTTTTTAACTTTTTGTTTTCATAGTGGTTGGACTCATTTAAATCCCATTAATTTACATGCACAAGGGTTCCCATTTCACCGTATCCTTGCCTGCTCTTGTTGTCTCTTGTCTTCTTGATGATAGCCATTCTAACAGGTGTAAAGAGATATCTCATTGTGGTTATGATTTGCATTTCTCTGATGATAGTGGATGTTGAATATCTTTTCATGTTCCTGTTGGCCATTTTGATGTCTTTGGAAAAATGTCTATTTAGTTCTTCTGCCAATTTTTAAATTGGTTTGTTGTTCTTTAAATATTTTGAATATTAACCCCTTATCCAATATGTGGTTTACAAACATTTTTTCTCATTATGTAGGCTGTCATTTCATTTTGTTGATTATTATTTTTGCCATCCAAAAGCTCTTGAGTTTGATGTAGTCCCATTTGCTGATTTTTGCTTTTGTTGTTTGTATTTTTGGTGTTATGCAAAAAAAAAAAAATTGCCAAGACCAATATTAATGAGTTTCTTCCCCATGTTTTCTTCTAGGAGTTTTATGGTATCAGGTCTTATGTTTAAGTCTGATCCATTTCGAGTTAATTTTTGTGAGTTGTGTGAGATAGAGGTTCAATTTCACTGTTGTATATGTGTTTCTCCAGTTTTCGTAGCACCATTTGTTGAAGAGACTATTCATCCCTAATTGGGTATTCTTGGCTCCCTTGTGGCATATTAGTTGACTGTAAATGCCAGGATTTAATTCTAGGTTCTCTGATCTGTTCCATGGTCTATTTTATGCCAGTACCATACTGTTTTTATTACTGTGGCTTTGTAGTATAGATTAAAATCAAGAAGGGTGATACCTCTGGCTATGTTCTTTTTTGCTTTGGCTGTGCAGGGTCTTTTGTGGTTCCACACAAATTTTAGGATCGTTTCTTCTATTTCTATGAGGAATACCTTTGGTATTTTGATGGGGATTGTGTTGAATTTGTAAATGACTTTGGATGGTATAACCATTTCAACAATATTTATTCTTCCAATCCATGAATTTGGGATGTCTTTCCATTTGTTTGTGTCTTCTTTTATTTCTTTCAGCAAAATCTTGTGTTTTCATTGTACAGATCTTACACTTCCTTGGTTAAATTTATTCCTAAGTATTTTATTGGTTTTGATGCTATTGTGAATGAGATAGTTTTTTAAAAATTTCTTTTTCTGATGCTTCATCATTAGTGTAAAAGAATGCCACTGGTTTCTATAAGTCGATTTTATAACTTGCCACTTTACTGATTAATCCCACAGTTTTTTTATTGACTTTGGAATTTTCTATATGTAAAATCATACTGTTAGCAAATAGTGACAATTTTACTTCTTCCTTCCTGATTTTAGACAGAGAGGAAGAGGGATGGGAGAGTGAGAGAAGCATTGATGTGTGAAAGAAACATTGATTGGTTGCCTCCTGTGGTTAGGGGAATCCCACTCCCACACAGTTAAAAATTTATGTATAACTTTTGACTCTCCCAAATCTTAACTGCTAATAGCCTACTGTTGACTGGAAACCTTACCAATAACATACAGTCAATTAATACATATTTTATATGTATTATTTACTGTATTCTTACAATAAAATAAATTAGTAAAAAATCTTAAGAAAACTAGAGGCCCGATGCACAAAATTCATGCAAGAGTAGGCCTTCCTTCCCCAGGCTGCCGGCACTGGCTTCCCTCTGGCACCCGGGACCCGGGGCTTCCCTTGCAGCCCCGGCTTTGTCCAGAAGTTGTCCGGAAGGACGTCCGGTCTAATTAGCATATTGCGCTTTTATTATTATAGATCATACAGAAGATAAAATACATTTATAGTACTGTATGTATTTATTGAAAAAAATCCATGTGTAAGTGGACCCGTATAGTTCAAACCCATGTTGTTCAAGGGTCAACTGTATGTTGGAGACATTTCCATAGGTGTACAAACAATTTTTGAAGAGACATTTCCTCCCTCTGCAGATGTTGACTGGGCCATACTAAACTTAATATAAACAGAACTTATATTTTCCCATTGTTATTGTAGAACTTTGTAACTAATATACCATTATACTGTTGTTTCCCAGGCTGCCAGAAATTGTCTAGTAAATGAGGCAGGAGTTGTGAAAGTATCTGATTTTGGAATGGCCAGGTAAGTCTGAGTGTATGTGAACATTTTTATCAATTTTGGATTAAATTAATGTGAGACTGTTACCTTTCCCTTAAAAGTACAGAAAGCCTGACTTTTTCTTGCAGTTTGACTATCAGCTTCTTCCTCAGAAGCCTACATAAGTGCTGTTTTGAAACCACATGTTTTGTTACAGTAGCAAAAATATTGGTAGAACCAATCATTTTTTATAGAGGAACTAAATGATTTTTCCGTTTCTTAGTATTTTTTATATAAGCTAATAAAATAAATTACTTGCATTTTGGAAGATTTCTTTGCTGAGTGTGTCCATTATTGTTAGCTGTGGCTTTTTCTCAGGTAAACAAATTGTTGAGAAATTATGATTGCTTAATGCTTTATTATGTGATGTTCACATTAGCATGTAGAATGAATAGCATGGGGATAATGTGCACGAATGAAGCAGAAAGGCAAGTTTGTTAGCTGGCTGTTTTGAGACAAATATATTCATGAAAATAAACGTGTGGATACTGTGTTAATTATTGTTAATCCTCTCCACTAGGTGGTGGTATAGCCTGTTAAATACACTACTTTCTTTTCTCCCTGATGTGGATTAGATTTTTAGAACCTTTTGTTTTCACAGAAAACTGTTTTGGGGTATAGAATACCCAAATCTGTACTGTTTTTATTTGCTTAATTTTTATAATTTTAATTTGTCCTTCTATACTATAGTTTGTCATTCTTTTGCTCTGTCCATTCATTCATCCATGTATTAAGAAATTAGGTGCCTACTATGTTCCGGGCACAATGTTAGACTGAACCATAGCAGAGAGGAAGACATACGAGTCCCCAACCACATGCAGCTTATATTCAAGAGGGGGGTGAGACATAGGACCTGAGACACACAAAGGGGGTAAAACACAGAGGACGGAGTGATGTGATGGAGCAGTGGTCAGCAGACTATATCCCCTGGGCTAAATTTGACCCACCCTCTCTTTCTGTATGACCTGTGAGTCAACAACACGTGCACATTTTTATTTTATATATATATATATCAGAGAGGAAGGGAGAGAGATAGATAGAAACATTAGTGATGAAAGAGAATCATTGTTTGGCTGCCTCCTGCACGCCCCCTACTGGGGGGGATTGAGCCTGCAATTCAGGCATGTGCCCTTGGCTGAAATTGAACCTGGGACCCTTTAGTCCACAGGCCAACGCTCTATCCACTGAGCCAGACCGGCTAGGGCTGCACATTTTTAAATGGTTGGGAAAGAATTAAAGGAACACAACACGTGAAAGTTCTCTGGCATTCAGGTGTCAGTGTCCATAAATAAAGCGCGACTGGGTCACAGCCTTGCTTGTGCTTTTGTGTTGACTGTGGCTGTCACAGCACAAAGGCAGAGTGGAATGGCTGTGACAGAAACCGGCCTGCAAAATCGGAAATATTCATTATCTGGCCCTTTGCAGAAAAAGTTTTCTGGCCCCTGTGATAGAGAGAGCTTGGCGTTGGGGGTGGGGCAGGTGTGAGTGATGGAGTAAGGGAGGGGTGATGGTACTCCAGAAGGCCTCTTTGAGACCCGGATATTTAAATGAAACCAAAAAGGCAGAAAGTAGCCAGTTCGGTGAAAACCTGAGGATAAAATATTCCAGGTGGAAGAGACAGCAAGTATAAAAGTTTGAAAGCTGGTGGAGGTGGAGGAGAGGATAGGTGGGATAAATGATGATGGAAAAAAAAGAAAAGAATATATATATTTTTAAAAAGTTTGAAATCTGGGACAAGCTTGGCCTGCTCAAGGAGTTGAAAGAGCCAGGGTGGCTCGCCCATGGCCAGCGCAAAGAGCAATAATAAAGGGACGCAGGGCCAGGCCATGGTGTTCTTCTCGAAGGTTAGCTCCTAAGGGAAATCAGGACCAGGGAGGTTAGAAAGCTGTGTTACTGTCAGCAGTGGGATCGGGACTGCTGGCAGTCAGGGCATGAGTTACCCAGTGCTCTCGGTCTGCTTTGTATAAAGATGTTCTGTAGCTGACAGGCGGTCCTTCAGTTTTACATGTTCCATTTTTGTATGGTTGGCTTTCAGAAAATCTGTGCTTTTGTGTCAGCCCCTCTAAAACACTCACTATACACTGAATTCAGACTCCCCTGATTGACAGACAAGTTGACCCAGCCCATGGTGGCATCGTCACCGTCTCTGTCTATACAGCAAAGGAGGCTGTGCGATTGTTTGAATATTTTCTCCAGGAACAAGGAGCTTTTAGAAATTAACTTTCTATGTTTATGTAATATACAAACACATTCCTCTTGTAAATACATACTGAACACATTACAGAAAGGGCTGAAGTTCCCATGTGTACCATGCCAATCAAGGATGCTCCCAAGACATAGTCAGTGTTATCAGTTTGTATCTGTTCTTCCAGAAAGATATAAGTATGCTCCCTTAAAAAAATTATATAATAGTTAGTTGTTGTTGGTGGTGTGTGTGTGTGTATGTAGGAGCAATGTCATGGTTTATAAATATATATTCCACCATTTACATATGTCATTTTGCAATTTGCTTTTTTAATTTGCTGTAGTTTTGAATTGTGCGCTGTGGACTTGTGGGGGCTAAAAGCACGTGTGTCTCCAAATGCTTTTCACCACTTCCTTTAGCACAGCTTTGCTTTAGATGTTTTACAAGTGGGGCCTTTGGGTAAAACTTTGTAACAAAATTGCTCACAAAAGAAGTTTGTGAACTATTTTATTGTATTCTGCCTCTATTGCTTATAAAAAAGAAAAGACAAAAGTGAAAGTACAGATACTAATGTCACAATCCATCCATTTCAAATAAATAAAGCTGAGATGGAAATCACCAGGCATGGCCACCAAAGCAAACATTTAGCTTCAACCGGATGCTTGTTGGACTTCAGTCAACTGTGTTTTTGAGATGATCAGTACACAAGTTCTTCTGGTGCTAAATTTCCTGTGAAGTGGTGTCCACCTGAGGTGTTTAATTACAGCCGATTTAGCAGCAAATCAGATGTCTGGTCATTCGGTAAGACCCACGGTCCGTTTTCCCTCAACTCTGCTCTGAAGGGGAAGTGGTGCATCACTTGGTAATCCTTGCCCCCTTCCAGGTGTTCTAATGTGGGAAGTATTCACTGAAGGCAGAATGCCCTTCGAGAAGAACACCAACTACGAAGTGGTAACCATGGTTACTCGCGGCCACCGCCTCTACCGGCCTAAGTTGGCGTCCAAATATGTCTATGACGTGATGCTGAGATGTTGGCAGGAGGTATAGAATTTTTTTGGTGCTTTTTATTTTTGATTCTTTAAAACATTTATGGATCTGGGCTTGGGGGATTAATAATGCATAGTCTTTATTGCCCAGTGAGTTGTGGGTTGGTGCATGTTTTACATGGTTTGAAACTCTAGGTAGGAAGACAAGTCTCTGGACTTAGTTCTGAATAATGAGAAGAAGAATGGGGAGAAGTGGAAAATGCTAAGAATTAAGATAATGAACTCAGGCTGCCCCACTACCGATGGGGACCTGCCACAGTGGCCTGAGTTAGGGACCCAGGAAACAGCCTGGGGAAGGGGCCCTTCTTTCAGTGGGAGTCTCTTATAGTTGAAGTATCACTCTCACCAGTGAGGATTTCTTTCTCCAGCCCTCAACTTTCTCGGGTCTTTTCACTCACATTCTTTGGAAGTTTACCTTCCTCCTGCATTGAAATGTCATCTTATAGAAGAGATGAAAGACCCAAATGACTTTTGAAAGATAATAATGATAATGAAAGATAATAACATCAGCTCACATGTATCGTATGCTAGGCCCTGTACTAAATGCTTCAGATTTAGTTTTCAAAACTAACCCTTGGAGGTGCTGTGGTGACTCTGGATGGAACACCAAGACTCAGGAAGTTGATGAGGCCACCCAGCTACGGAGAACCCGAGTGCCATCTGACTCCAAAGCCTCGGCTCCCAGTCATTTGCTATAAGCCTCCTAAGAGCATTGACTAGGATGGGCAGAGGCCTCTGGTCAGGGAGTGGTCAGGGGGAGAAAGGACAGCATGAGCAAAGGCAAGGAGTGGTAATGAACCTGGTGTGTGTAGTCAAGTGTGGAGATTGGTGTGACTGAGCAGAGAGTCCATGGGAGCGTTTTCCAGGGAAATGAAATTGGGTCCCAAGGAGGTGGGGGGTGGCAGGTTATCGAGAGCACTGCTAATTAGCAGGACTTGATTTTGCAGGCAACGAGGAGCTCAGTCGGGCTCTTGAGTGGGGGCACAAAGCAGATGGTAGAACGCAGTCCAGCGGCAGTACGTGCAGGCTAGACCAGACCCTTTTGGGGACGCCTGCGTGTTCCAGTCCCAAAGCAATGAGTCCCTTGCTCTAGTGCACTATGTTATATGAGATTGAGAAATCACTTTTGGAATAGATTCTGGAACCCACCGCTTCTCTTTGATTTTTAATTGTAGAAACCAGAGGGAAGGCCTTCCTTTGAAGATTTGCTGCGCACAATAGATGAACTAGTTGAGTGTGAAGAAACTTTTGGAAGATAAGTGGTGTTGTGACCGGTCGCTTCCAGATTCCAAAGCGCAAGGAAGAAATGGCACTTTGTAGCTAACTTTTAATTTATTTAGCACATGGATGTGTAGATTGTTTTACTGACAAACTGAAAACACCTAACGCATCTGCTTTTAGACCATCCTTAGCCCCATGACTGAATCTTCCAGGTTATGGAAATGCTGCCTTAGAGATGGCGATGAAAAGCACTCTTACACACTCCACAGGGCTTCCATGCCCACAGAGGGACCATGCCCAGACCCCAGGGTTCACCCACTTGGGTGCACAGGGGCCATGTTGGCTGGTGCCAGTGGAAGACCAGGGAGTTTGGGATGGGCAAGGGTGTTGGATCCAGGCTCCAGCAACCCATCTCTTCCCTTTCACTTCCACAGAAATCTGGGCCTGGGGCACTGTCTCATGTGGGTTCTGGAGGAACCAGCGACCACATTGGATATGTACCCATCTTTTGTTTTGAAAACATCTGTTTTTAAGACTGCCATTAGTATTACATTACAAAACATTTGTACCCTGTCTATATTGTAAATATATATAATATATAAAGTTATATATTTATAAGAAACATGAGTTGTCTTTTGTTTTTTTATTATTTTTAATCCTTACCCAACGATATGTTTTTACTGATATTTTGAGAGAGAGGAAGGGAAAGAGAGAGAGAGAAACGTTGATGTGAGAGAGAAACACTAACCGGTTGCCTCCCGTATGCACACCGACCAGGAATTGAACCCACAACCTAGGTATGCCCTGATCAGGAATTGAACCCGCAGCATTTTGGTGTATAGGATGATACTCCAACCAACTGCGCCACCCTGCCAGGGCATGAGTTGTTTTTTAATTGAAACTTTGAGTTCTATAGTATATGAGCTAACCTTCTTAGGACTTGGGGTGGTGCCTTATAGCTGTCCATTCCATTTATCCTGGAGATGAACTATTTCTTACTGAAGAGAACAAAGTTTGGACTCTTCTATCACGAATGCCCTCTCCTCACTTAGGTAGACATGTTTGGGCTAAGTGACCCTCCCTCTGGTATTGGAGTTAGTTGACAATCAATAGGCTGCCCCGCTGTAAGCAAGACTTGGGGGCAAGCTCCAGTTCTGGCAGAGAGGCCAGGAAAAAAGCAGAGCATCATGTATTGAGCGGCCCTCGATGGTTTTCAGGAGGCCTTCTTTCACCTGGGTTCCTGGGTCAGAGAATCCTCTATTACAGCCTCGTGGTAGACCCTGCGATGGAGTTTGAGTAGGTTTCTGACCCTTAGGATCTCTGACTTAGACGCCTGCTGAGGGAGAGCCATCATTTGTCCTCATGAGCCCAGGGGAAAGCAACACAGTCTCCGTCATCAACAGCAGAGGCCAGGGACTGCCCCGCACGTGACTCTTCCTATGGTGTGGGTAGGAAACCAAAGAAGACACAGGCCTTCAGGAGTCCCATCCACCCTGTGGACGCCCAGGTGTCCCCGGTGCTGGGGAGCCCGTGGGAACACACAGCTGTTGCCGGCTGCTCTGAGCAGCACCTCCCCTGCGACCTACCTTTGGTCAGTCCATCCTCTGAAGGCGGTCTCCCGTCCTTCCTGATCCCCCCTAGAATGGAAAAATATGAAAGTAACTCTCCTCAGTGTCGTCGCAGTCTGTTTGCCACCTGCCTCCTCATCTTCCTGTTTAACTGTACCCCCGTCACAAAAACACGCACACCTTTTAACCGAATTGCAGCTCATGCAAGGAGTGGATCACGTTCGAGTCATACCCCACTCTCATGTCACACTTCTCATTCCTCCCTCCCTCACCCTGACTCCTCCCCCCTCCCCGTCCCATCCCAACCTTCCCTTTTCACCTCGAGGAGCTGAGTTCAAGGCGCTGGGTGGCGTGGAAGAGAGTGAGGAGAAACACAGCCCTTGCAATGACTCTTCTAAAGACCGTGGATGTGGAAGACAAGGTGAGTCATACCTGGCAGCATGTTTTTCAGAAATCTTTCAATATGTCACTAAAACTTAAAAGAAACAAGTTTTTACATAGGAGCATAGCTAAGGCAAGAGGTGAAGTAAAAATAGAAGAATCCACCCAGAATGTGCAGAGATCTTAATCTGTGAGGCAGGAAATAGGAAGGGCACGGCGAATGTGCTGCCTCTTCATCTGAGTTGTTCCCTTTGGCTTCAGTTGATTTTTATGTATATTTTCCAATGGGATGAAGTGAAGCCCATGGGTGCATTGTTTTTTGTGGGTTTTTTGGGGTGCATTGTTTATAGTTACGTTGTTTTTATATTTTCTGGCCATCCTCTAGTCACCTTTTATGGGTATAATTTTACTGGTTGCAACCCTTCCCCCCCCCCCCCCCCCCCCAAAAAACACATTTCCAAAAA